TTTGTTTCCACATCAAATTTAAGTGTTACACTTTTGTGTTAATTTTTAAACATATTACTTGTGTTATTTATTTACATACTTGCCTTCTGTTAAATTATCATTAAAATTAGAGTGGATAAATTGGGACATATGAAATATGTTAAATTTAACACAAAATTTTTACGGTGTAATTAAATTTTCTTTCAAATTATTATTAAAAAATAATTAAAGAAATTTACAAACGTTTATAAAATTAATAATAAATAAACAAAAAACAGAAATACATAATATAATAATTTACAATATATATGGAAAAGTTAACTTTTTTCACACAAAATTATAAAACACAATTTATAGTATAAAATATGTAGAAATATTATTAAAAACGAAATATATAAAAGCAATAATGAAAAAGATATAAGAATTTATATTTTAAATTTTAATTTAAAAAAATGATATAAAATTCAAATACTTACACGGTCGAATCATTAATTATCGAATCGAATCGAATATTATCTAACGTTTCATTAGAAAACAGAACTTCCATTCCATCTAATTGTTCAAATTTAGATAATTTATCTACTTCTTCATACTTTCTTTCAAATTCCTTTTGATTCGATATATCGCTTCTACTAAGATGATTTCTTCTTCTAAAGTGTACTTCTTATAAAATTTCAAAAACATTAACATTTAAAAAAATTATACTTTAAATTAACGAAAAAAAAAACAAAAAAAGAAAAAAGTTACGAATAATAATTACGAATAAAATTAATATAATTTGATGAAAAATAAATAATACATGATTTAAATAAAAATTATAATGAAGAAATTTATAATATCATAAAAATTTACACACAACAAATGTAATTATTTGTTATATTCACAGATACTACATATAATTTTACGTTAATTATATAATTCTTCAATAAATAGTTTTTTCATAAAATATTGTTCGTGTGACAATGCAAATAATATATTATAATAAAATGATATAATATGTTAAAAGAATATAAATATATGTGAGAGAAATACAGTAAATAAAATGTAAACAATTTTTGTAAACCAACTGTCAAAAAAAAGAAAATTTTATCTTTTATGTAAAGTTTTTTTAGCTTGAAAACTTTCCCAACTTTTCTCTTGCGCGTCTCTCGCAAACTTCTAACAAGAATCATTAACAATTCGATAATGTAAAAGTTATAAAAATTTATATTTTAAATTTTAATTTCAAAAAAATGAAATATAAAATTCAAGTACTTATACGTCGAATCATTAATTCGAATATTATCTAACGTTTCATTAGAAAACAGTATTTCCATTTCCATCTAATAATTGTTCAAATTCAGATAATTTATCTACTTCTTCATACATTTTTTCAAATTCCTTTTGATCCGACATATCCGTTTCTACTAAGATAATTTCTTCTTCTAAAATGTACTTCTTATAAAATCTACTTTTTCTGTTTTTTCACATAGCAACTTATTAATCGCATAACAATAACATAGCATAATTATACAATAATAAAAATATTTTTCTAACACACTATTAATCTATTAATATAAACGATTACCCGCGATGACAACCGATTTATGCTCTGAATATATGTTCATAATGAGAGAGAATCGAGACAATCAATCAGCATCACGGGAAAGCGAATGAGAGGTGAGAGATTTGGCCCCCGTTCGCACCCATTCACCAAAGATGGACAAAAAATTGTTATAAAATTAATATTACTTGATTGCTCGAATAATTAGTAATTAATTTAAAAAATTATTTATACTTGGATAATCAGTAATCAAAGTAAATAATTATTTGATTATTTGGATAATCAGTAATTAACGTGAAAATTTCAGTAATCAAACTTAAAAATTTTTTAATTATTCAAATAATTATTCAATAATTATATAAGATGAGATTATATCGAAATTTAATTTTTCGATATAACTTTTAAATGTGCATGAAAAATTTGTTTAGACATTTCGAAGTTTCGGACTTTTAAAGTTAGAATTAATTCTCAATTCTTTAATTAAATTTTGACATAACACGCCTTACATCCGTATGACTCACATAGCCCATTTATTTCTTAGTGCAATTTTTAGTTTATTTCTTAGTGCAATTTTTAGTTATTTAAGTTCTTAATTTTTCATAAAGTTTATCTTTTCATTATCATCAAATATTTTTGGTACATATTTTCAAAAATTTTGTATTTTTATTTACCGCAGTTTCTTATACAAATGTCAAATCTTTTATCAATTTTCTGTGGAAAACGAAATAATTTACAATTTTATGATATGACATTATTACAATTTCTATATGTACATCTGTCGAATATTTTGTGATTTTCTTTACGCATTGTTATAATCTTTTAATGCAAGAAAAACGCTTGCAACAATCAAAAACAAACTACCTATCGCGAACGGAAAATATCGAGAAAGTACGCAATTTCCGCGAATTTCGTGATTTGTTAAAAAAATCTACAATTTCGATTAAATTATAGATTATTCAGATCACTGCACAAGTATATAATTCCCAATAATAATTTTCAGTAACTATGATAAAAAATTGTTTACCGAAAACTGTAAGCAAAAGTGCAATGGAATAAAGTCTGTGACAAAAGCGAAAAAATAAACAAATAGGCAATAGAAAATTAATAATTTTCAAACAGAAAATTCTTGAAATTATCGAGGATTATAAATTATAAAGTATAAAAATAATCCATTTTCAAACTTTGCTCGCGGAAAAGATCTTTGAAACGAGAAGAGATAAGATCTTTAAAGAAGCGGAAAGAATTAAAGCGCTGCGTTTCAACAGATTAATGCATAATGAAATTGACACGCAATTGCTTTGCCTCATCTCGGCGAGCTCACAAGCTTCTGGCGTTCTTAAGCCAGTAGAAATAGTAAAAAAAGTAACAATAATTTCAAATGTCTTTAAACCTTTTTATTGCTTAGTTTTGTTAGCAACATAATATATCTCATTTTGCTAACTTCCTCGAGGTCCGCAAAATTAAAAAAAGAATTTGCAAAATTTGTTGCTACCTTACGTAGAAAATTGCAAATAATTAGCAAACTTGGGGAAATGTTTAATCGATGATTTTTTGCTGTTTATTAAATTTGCTAACCGTCCTAGGCTTCGCAACATTGAAAATTATTAAAAATTAGCATTTTTGTTAATAAATATTCCGCAAAAATATGTAATGTTTTGCAAAAGTGTTAGAATTTTTTTAAAAATATGCGAAAAGATTTGTAAAAATAGGTAACAAATACTTAAAGCATTTTATGTCTCGTATTTACAAATTTGCTTACTTCTTCGAGCCCGGCAACATTATTAAAACTTAATAATTCCGAAATATCTCTCGCAATAAATTTCTTTTTCACGTAAGAAAAAGCAAAAAATTTTAAAAATTGTCCGATTTTTATCGTGTTTGATGTCATTTTAATCGCAAAAATCTCATTAATCCATTGAAATTATTTTCAAATCGATAAAATGTGAAATATAAAAGTTTTATTTTCTGTGGTAAGATGATATATGATACGTGAAAGATAAAGATAAAGGGAACCTCGCGAGAGAGACTTCGGAACTCTTTGGTGATAGGTCATCTCGCTTGCTCGTTATTCCTTCTCGCTCTCGAATTCGACGACATCGAGAGCGAGAACGAATTTTTAATAATTTTCAATGTTGCGGACCCTATGATGATTATCAAATTTAATAAACAGCAGAAAACATCCAATAGCCATCAATTAAACATTTCCCCAAGTTTGCTAATTATTTGCAATTTTCTACGTAAGGTGGCAACAAATTTTGCAAATTCGTTTTTTTTTTTAATTTTGCGGACCTCGAGGAAGTTAGCAAAATGAGATTACATTATGTTGCTAACAAAACTAAGCAATAAAAAGGCTTAAAGACATTTGAAATTATTATTGTTATTTTTGGGAATTATAATGTCTATTTCTACTCGCTTATCTTGAGTGATCACATCGACTGTGTCTCATAGAACGAATTCCCATTGTGCTTTTGTTTGCGATTTTTAATATCTTACGATTTTTTATCGTTGTTATTGAAATAATTATTGTGAGTAGTGTGACGTGTGTGTGTGTGTGTGTGTGTGTGTGTGTGTGTGTGTGTGATCCGATTTTACGAATCTACAGTTTTAACGAAATTGTAGTTTCGATAAAATCACGAGATTCGCGGAAATTGCATGCTTTTTCGACGTTTTTGGTTTGCGGTTGCCGGTTTGTTTTCGATTGTTGCAGATATTTTTCATAGATTAAAATGGATAAGAATAAAGTGAAGAAAATCACGATATTCGAGATGTGCATACAGAAACTGTAATAATATCAAATCAGAGAACTGTAAATTGTTTCGTTTTCCACAGAAGACTGATGAAAGATATTTGACATTTGGATAAGAAATTACGGTAAGTAAAAATACTAAATTCTTTTCTTCCTCTTCTTTTATGTTTATTAGCTTTTGCTGATCTCAAATTGAAGACCTTTTCTTGCCGACCATTGATCTTCAGTGAACAAAATTCTTGAAAATACCAAAAATATTTGATGATAACAAAAAAGCTGAATTTTGCGAAAAATGAAGAAACGACTGTCTTAAAAATTTCAAGTAATTTTCTTTAATGAAATTTAATTAAAATTTTTTAAAGTACACTGTCAAGGAAAGATTGCGGTTGACTTTCATCAATTTTGATTTCCTTTCTTGTGGTGAATCTGTATTAAAATTAAGTTGATTTGTATTCGAGCTTTTCGTCTAATACGCCTTGTAATATTTTTTTATACTTGAAATTTTTATGTTTGTTATAAGCCCTAAATAAAGACACATGTTTAATCAGTGCCGCTAGCGCAACAGAAAAGTTTTATCTTGAGAATGTAGTTAGTAGTTACTGCATTGGCCACTACTATGGTATGGCGCTGAAATCAGTGAGAAAGTGCCGGTCTGGTCTTTATCTGGGTCATTGGCTATCTGTCTATTAATCTGTGCTCTTAACATGCCTTTTATAATAATGGACACTACGGATCGCACACGCGAGTAGCTAAATTTCGAACTTATATATCTTGTTTTCTTTGTATTACGTGGAAATCACCACATAGAGATTAGGCAAAGTGAAATCTCTTTTTTTATAAGTTTTTTTATTTTCTCTGCAAGTAAAGTGTTATGTTTGTTATAAGCCGGATTAAAAAGCTTCGCAGGTTGTTTCTGGCCCATAGATTGCCTATTGCATATTCGTAGTCTAAAGCTTATTTTATAAAAATGTAAATTGTACTTACTAAATGAAAGGATTAACAAATATATATTGTATATATGTATATTGTATAATCAATTTTTTATTTCATTCAAGATATGTAAACGATAGAGCTGGGGGGGGAGGGGCACGCCAAGTTTTCATATCTTACTTCGACCTGAAGGTAATTTATGCGATTTAGAATTTGTGTAAAGCTTTTTTAAATTATATATATCATATAAAAAATGTTTTAGGAATTAATTTTAACTCATTTAGTATCGATTACGAATTAATATCACATAATTTATTGTGGCTTATAGTATTGATCTCATATCGGTTCTAAATATTTTATTTTTATCACTCTTTTAGATTTTTTTATTTTTTTATTACTTGGCGTATTTTTTTACTTTTATAAGATTTTTTTTTAGATAAATTATATTTACATTAAAAATATGCTTTTTTGTCTTTATTTTATATTTTACTTAAATTTAATTTATTTAATTTATAAATGTATTAATTTATAAATTTAATTTATAATTTTAGATTTTATTTTAGTAACACTAAATTACTTATAAATAAATTCTAACTTAAATAAATAATAAATCAGTAAGTAAATTGTCAGTAAGTAAATTATATTATACTTAATAAAATTAACTATTATTAAGTTAATTAATTATTTATAATTTAAATTTTTAAATATTAAATAAAAATATTATACAATAAAACAAGAAAAATAATTTTTGCAATAATATTAAAAAATAAACGCACTTATTTATAAAATATAATTTGTTTATATGTAACTGTTACATCCAAACCCGTGCACGAATGGATCAATGAAAGGATATAATTTATTTATTTTATTCCGTGATACATTTTTACAACTATTGCTCGAACATAATGAAGTGACTCTTACCATAAAAGGAAAAGAGTTCAAGCAAACGATATCCATGACAAATCGACAGGCAGAACAATAAAAAAAAACAGTATTTTTAATATTCGCATTTTTCACTCTGAATCAACTTAAAATAAAAAAATAATTGACATAATTAAAATAAGGAAATAATTAATACATTTAAGATAAAGTAATAATTAAGGATAAATTGTTTTCTTGAAATTTTCTATTGCTTTATATGGAATTGTTTGAATTTTATTTTATTTAATTATTTATTTAAAAAATAATTAGTTCCTCAAATTAATTTCATTAAATTTCGAGGTTTCATTTTCTAGATATTAAAGTTCACTCCCAAGGGATGGTTTTTTTTAATATTGTTTTTTAATATTGTTACGATAAATTAGTCTTCTTAGAAATCTTATCTAATGGCACAGATTTTATATTTTTGTGATATCGTTTTTGAGATAGATTAGATTTTACCTTCAAAAGGTTTTTGAAAATTATTATACGATAAATTAATCTCTCACACTTATATATACACATATACACATATTACATATATGCACACACATAAATGTTTTGTTTCTTAAAGCATTTTTTATGATGAAGAAAAACGAAAAATGTCACATTTCATGCGATTATCATTTCTCGAGATTAACTGCACCGATTTTATTCAAACTGGTCGCAATCGAAAGCTTGCATTCACATTATATCAGAAAAATGCCGTTAGATTTTTTATTACGGCTTTCGTTTCTGAAATATTTTAATCGAAAGTTTATTTGATGTAAAATTTCGGATAAGCTACTTGGTAGCGCCGCATCGAGGATAGTGACTTTCAATGCTCGGATCTAGTTCTTTTTTAGTTTTTTTTTTATGTACTTGACGTCGCGTATTTTGTTTAATAATAAATTACATGTATTTGAGTTAATTTCTTATTTCCATATTTTTAGAAACAATGCATGCGTTAATAGAAAGAGATTGACAGTACATTCCCTGTTTCTGTCGTAGTCCCATTACTTGTCAAGAGATACGTTTTCTATTTTCTATTTTTCAAGAGGAGATAGACAATGCTTCGTCTAATTTATATATGTCTATGGTATTTAGTATGATGGCTAGTATATTTAAAAAATTTGAGAAGTGGCCTCTATGTTTATTGAAATCGATAATTGGCTGTATCGATCAAACAATATCGTTCGCTATTTTCGAGAATGAAATTGAACACAACTGCGGAAAGCAAACGGGCTGCGAACAAATGTTTGCATCATTTATGACAGGTAAATGACAGTAAACTAATTGATAATAAACTAGTCATTTAATTATGCTGATCAATTATAAAGTTGCGAGATATTCGCGGTTTTACAGATTTTTTCGTTATTTCTTAAGCTTGATATTTTTGACATTATAATAGTATAATTTATTCTAGTTTCTTACAAGCATATTTTTCACTTTTTTATATTTTATATCTGTATTACAGCTTTATTATTTATAATCTCTCCATTATTATATATATATTATATACATTTATCTTATTATCTTTTATTATCTTACAATTCTTATTATTTGCAAACATAAGTTTAATAAAAATTAATATTAAAATTAATATTAAAAATAAATTAATTTTATTTTTAATTTATGTAAACATAATTTAATCATGTTTTTATTGATGTGTAAACAGTATGTCAGTATTTTTAAATCTTGAATATAGTCAATAAAATATTTTCAATAAAAACATATGTAAAACATCAAAAAAATCAATTAATATTTCTCAAAAAAAAATTCATCAAAACCCTAAAATTCATTATTTTTCAAATATTTAGTACTTATTATAATTCTTCACACACTTAATATTCTTCAAAAATATATAAAATCATCATTTTTAATACATTTAAAAATTTAAAAATTTTTTAAAGATTATTTGAAATCAAATATATATATAGAACGCAGAAAAGATTAATTTCTAATATTCTTCAAGAAAAATTCTTAAAAATCATCAATTTTACATATAGCTAAAATAGATTGAGCTCTTAATCACTGTCATTTTACTCATTCAATAATATCGCTGTTCAAAATACAATCATTTTTTATTTGTTTTGAACAGTAGTTGGGAATATTAACGCTCACAATCGTATGACGATAGAGTGCCGTTTATTGGGATGGATCGAACGAGGATTACGTTCTGTACAGATGTGGACAAGTCTGTGATCGTGCATAACTTTGAAAAACGCGGCTGGACGCAAGTAGGTCCAGAGGACGATTGGAATTTTTACTGGTGATTATAATAATCTCAATTTTCCATTATATTCTACATTTATTGTTGCATTCATATTCATTACAGGGCCGTTACACAATCCTGCAGAAATATCTTCAGCGTCGAAACCGGATACAGAATGGACGATAATCAGTATATAAATCCTTTCGAGTCATAATCTTTTTATTTTATCAATTTTAGAAATTAATCCTTTTTACGTTTTATATATATTCGATATTTAAATAATTTTTAAATGTATGAAATGATGATTTTAGATATTAACAAATTAATAAATAGATAAAGAAATTAGGCTCTGTAATGTATTAAACAACAATTCGAGAAAAGAGCGATTAAGAGCCACCGCGGATGGTAGTGCGTAAAATTTTTAAAGATTAGTAATTCGCAAAAATTAAAACGCGTGAAAGACATATGCATATATTTTACTTGGTGCATTAACCAAGATATAGATTCTTAATTCGAGAATACTATAAGACCCCTCTTTACCCCCCTGAAGAGACGTAGGCGAGAAAAATATCGGGGCGAAGTCGGGCTGAATCGGAAAACGAATCCCGAGTCTTCGACTCCGAGTCGAATTCGCCCCGATATTTTACTCGCCTACGTCTCTTCAGGGGGGTAAAGAGGGGTCTTACAGTATTCTCGAATTGAGAATCTATATCTTGGTTAATGCACCAAGTAAAATATATGCATATGTCTTTCACGCGTTTTAATTTTTGCGAATTACTAATCTTTAAAAATTTTACGCACTACCGCGGTAGCTCTTAATCGCTCTTTTCTCGAATTGATTTTAGATATTGTTTTTGAAGAATATTAAATGTATGAAGAATTCTAATGAGTATTAAACATATGAAAATTAATGAACTTTAGGATTTTTACGAATTTATTTTTTTTGTGAAAAATATTAAAAATTGATTTTAGTTTTATCAATTACATATAATTCTTCATTATTAATAATACAATTGAAAATCTTAATCTTAAAGAATTTAATCTGTATTTTTAATAAATAAAGAGATTACGCGTGTATTAGAAAAAAATATTAAGAATTTTTTGTACATATTAAAAATACATTAAATGTCCAAATTATATATGTGTTATGTATATGTGTGAGAAGTTATGAAAAACTTTACAATACATAATCTCGTATAAAATCATGAATTTAAGCCATTAAAGAAAAATAAGCTGTTTGAATGTACCAGAATGATCAATCACTTTCCGAATCATTACGAGCTGACGCGCAAAGATCTACTGGTAAAGAATATCAAGCGATATCGAAAGGATTTGGAGCGAGAGGGAAATCCTTTGGCGGAGCGCGCGGATGGTCCAGGCAAATATTTGTATCTAGACTTCATACCAGTGACCTTTGTCTTACCTGCAGGTGAACCCATGTTCTTCAAAGATTAGATTTTTGTAAATATATTACGTAATTATGAATTATGTAATTAGAATCGAAAAAAATGATGTCGAAAAAAAATCGTCATAGAATCTAATTTAAAATTCTAGTGAATTTGCCCTGTGAAAAAGAACTTTTATATTTAAAGGATTTAAAAAATTTTATAATTTTATTAAGCAATTTTTAAAAATAAAAATTTGTTAACAAAATTAAATTATTTAATTCGTTTTTTCACGTGGTGTACAAAAAATATTGTATTTTTGTAGATTACAATATGTTTGTGGAAGAGTATCGCAAATCCCCGCAAAGTACTTGGATCATGAAGCCATGCGGCAAATCACAAGGCGCTGGAATATTTCTCATCAACAAATTAAGCAAATTGAAGAAATGGTCACGCGAAGCGAAGACCCCATTCAATCCTAATTTAACAAAGGAATCGTATGTCATATCTAGGTACTCAATTGATCTAAGTAATCGATTGATCAGGTTTTAATTCTTAATAAGATTCTCAGGCAATATAAAAAGATAACAATCTCTTTCACGATAGATACATCGACAATCCGCTGTTGATTGGCAGCAAGAAGTTCGATCTCCGACTGTACGTTCTCATCACATCGTTTCGGCCGCTCAAAGCTTACCTCTTCAAATTGGGATTCTGTCGCTTTTGTACCGTCAAGTACGACACCAGCGTTCAAGAGCTCGACAACATGTACGTGCATCTAACGAATGTGTCTGTACAAAAGCACGGCGTATGTATCGTATGCATTTTATATACTTATTAAATTATCCACAGCCCATACAGCACAGAACATTGCAATAATATTGCGGTAATATTGCTGCAATGTTACAACAATATTATTAATAGCAATATTATTAATAATATTATTGTTTCTTTAATTTGCATAGAAACTTCACAACTTACATCTTATCTCTACGAGAACATTATTTGAAAAGCTCTTTATCAAGAGAATTTTATCAAGAGAAGAATATTTCTTTATATCTCGAAGATCAAATATATTAAAAATTCTTTAAATCAGAGAGCTAAATTATATCCTTTTATTAAATTTGAAGGATTCGGAACAGTTTCAAAATTTATTAAAGAAAAGAAATGCTTTCAAGATTTTTCAATAGAGAAAATTCGCTAAGCTCGGAAAATTTTTCTAAATATTTTAACTTTCTAAATATTTTTAATTTTCAAATTTTTAAATATGTTAATATTTAATTTTTAATATATGTAATTTGCAAAAGTATCTTATTCCCATACAGCACAGAACATTGTTGTAACATTGTAATATTGCCGCAATATTGCTGCAATGTTACAACAATATTAATAATATTGTTATTAATAATATTCTGTGCTGTATAAGAGGTATCTTGTTTCTTTGATTCGCACAGAAACTTCACAACTTACATCTTATCTCTTCGAGAACATTATCTGAAAAGCATCTTTATATCAAGAGAAGAATATTTCTTTATATCTTGAAAATCAAATATATTAAAAATTCTTTAAATCAGAGAGCTAAATTATATCCTTTTGTTAAATTTGCAGAATTCGGAACAGTTTTCAAAATTTGTTAAAAAAAAGAAACGCTTGCAAGATTTTTCAATAGAGAAAATTTGCTAAGCTCGGAAAATTTTTTCTAAATATTTTAATTTTCTAAATATTTTTAATTTTCAAATTTTTAAATATGTTAATATTTAATTTCTAATGTAATTTGCGAAAGTATCTTATTTCCATATAGCACAGAACATTGTTGTAACATTGTAATATTGCTGCAATATTGCTGCAATGTTACAACAATGTTCTGTGCTGTATACAATATATTTTGTGTACATACCTATGTGTGTATTTTGCAGGATGAGTATAACAGCAAGCACGGCGGTAAGCTGAGCGTGCAGAATCTGCGCTTGTATCTAGAGAGCACACGCGGTAAAACGGTCACAGAGAAGCTATTCGCTAACATTTCCTGGTGCATCGTGCATTCATTGAAGGCGGTAGCGCCCGTGATGGCGAATGATCGGCATTGCTTCGAATGTTACGGATACGATATTATCATCGACAACAAATTGAAGCCCTGGCTGATCGAAGCACGTAGCTGATCGTTCTGACTCTTTTAAATCAATCGTTTCATTTGATTATTATCAACGAAATTTATTTATTTTAATATTAATATTAATATTAATTATTATAATATTTAAATTAATATTATAATATTTTAATTATTATAATATTATAATATTATAATATTTTAATTATTTATTAAATATTATTAATTATATATTAATTATATATTTATTAATTATATATTAAATATTATAATTATATAATATTTTAATTATGTAATATTATAATATAATATTTTAATATTAATTTTCCGTTATTCTTTATTTGGCTTTATCTTTGAGTCTTTCTGATTAATTATCTAAGTCAATTAGTCAAATGTTGTAATAATAAATGTTGTAATGACAGCAATATCATTAATCAATATAATTAATATCGTGTTGGATTATCAGGGTATTTTAAAATTTTCAATCCTGCAGTCAGCAAAAATGATATATGACTCATAATAAGTCTTTAAATTTTCGCTTCTAGGTGAACGCCTCGCCATCTCTGACATCCACGACAGTGAACGACAGGATCTTAAAGTACAAATTAATCGACAATATCTTATCGGTTGTTTTGCCTCCGGATGGTATGCCTGAGTAAGTAAAAATATTCATAAAGGTCTGCAAACACGAAATTAAATGCGATTTAAATGATTAGCGTGAAATGGAACAAGTCGCCTTCCCCAGAGGCTCTGGGGAACTTCGAATTGCTGTTAGACGAAGAATTGGCCGCTCAAGATGAGAGGGAAAGTTCATCAAACAAATATCGCGGTTCCTCTCTCAATAAATGGAAATAAAAAAAGTTATTTGCTTCAGATATATATTGACGCATTTAACTATCTATTCAATATCCTTCTCTTATTATTCAGCATTAACCCTCTCACACAGTCTTTTTATATTTTTTTTACATCCAAAATTTTTACTTTGTTTTGGGGATATTTTTTGATCGCTGAATCCGAATCCGATGTCAAAGTTTTCAATTTAAAAAAAAATTCAAGATGCCGGATCCAATGTGACAGAAAATTGTAAATTTTAAAATTTATAAATTTTTCTTTTAGATTTGGATTGTGACTCAAAAAGCCGTTAGAAAGTTTTAAGAAAATACAATTGATAGTTAGTTTGGATTTAGTATAGAAAATATTATATTTTGATGTAAAATTAATAACAAAAACATGGCGGAAAATTCTGAAAAATACTTTAGAGTGTATTAAGTTCGTAAAAAAATTGCCCCTTTGATTTTCTTAATAGATTAATGGAAAATGCAATTCTCTGTGAAAAAATATTCATTTTAACTATTTGATATATCTTATTTTTACAATTAATAATGACTATTTGATATCTTATTTTTACAATTAATAATGACTTCATATTTGTTTTACATTTATTGATATTCTAGAGATTTTGTAGAAAAAACTGGATTTATTTATTTATTAAAAAAGTAGTTGAAAAAATGAAAAGCTGCGAAAAAAAAGTGGTCGCTCAGCGACTCTCATAACGCAAAGGATTAAATAAAGTCATAAAATTGCTTTATACATATATAATCCATTGTATTGATTGATCGCATCGAAGAGAAAAAAGAAATTCCAGCGAAAATATTTACATTAACAAACAATTTTATTTTAGCTATAAATATATTTTACATGGACGACGTACATACTGTCTGTGTGAAAATGTAAGAATATGGACAGTAAAATTTTTCAGTCTTTTGCGTATATCAAAGAGAGAGAATGAGAATAATCATTTCAATCTGAACTCTTCTTCTTCTCCACTCAAAATTGTCTCGAAATCGCGAGGTAAAGGTCCTTGCAGAATTTGTACAAATACAATTACATATATATTGTACAGAACTATCGTACAGTTTATGGCACAGTTTCTTGAAAATAACGATTATGCTCAAGACGCATATATATTGAACAAACGAACTTGTTTGTTGGCAAACAAGTGAGTCTGCTTCGCAAATTGATGCTTGGAAGATATGGAATTTTTTAATATAATATAATTTTTAATATAATATTATTATGGAATTTTTTAATATAATATTATTATAGAATTTTTTAATATAATATAATTTTTAACATAATTAATAAGCAAGAATAACAATTAATAAGGAGAATAATAAGGAAAAGAGATGCTCTTAAAGAGAGACTCTTTTTCTTAGTAAATTTTCCTAATTTTCCCTTAAAAAAAGTACATTTACGAATAGGAAGAAAACAGTGCAGTGGATATAATATTTCTGTGTAATCTGTGGGATTTGAATTCCTCTCTTATCGCTGTAATAAATGCGAATTAAAGCTTGCGAAGCGGACTTGCACACGAAAATTTACAGATTTGAGTTTTCTGCATTGGTTATTCGTTCATTTAATATACATCGCTTCTTTTACGCAAGGAACGGATATATGTGCGTTAACGTTACGCCGGTTATTTTTACATATACATTGTAATCAAATATTGTACATACAATAAAACGCAATCAATTATTGCTAAGCTTTTGATTAACATAATAATTTCTATTTATGTGATGTTTGTAATCTATTTTATATGCAGACTTTTTGTAAATTTACTCCCTCTTATAAGAAGGCTAAAACTTTTAGTAAGACTCTCTACAAAATTTTTATAGGCTCTGCAAAGAGACTTGGCTTATATAAAAAAAACTAAATCTTTTTGCAAGAGTTAATTTTACAAAAAACCTGCGATTTTATATATGTATATGTGATATGTCCTTGAATTCGACAATAAATGTATATTTCGCGAGATATAATGATAAAAAAATAACCAAATAAATGAATAAAATATTAACGCAAAACATTACACTATAGTAAAATATTGTAAAATACTGTAAAAGGCAAGTGCCATTTTCTTATCGCAGCTATGTATATTTGTTGAAAGACGTAGAAAAGTGATATATAAAAAACGGTAAACTTTTTCGAATATATATACAGGGTATAACTGAAAAAAACATATATCATAAATGTATTCAGTTACACCCCGTATAAAAGCTATTTTTATACGGGGGTGTAACTGAAATAACGTTTTCAATTTAGTCGTAAAATATATAAGACGCACCTTTGGTTAAGTCTTGTCGATTAAATTGCAAATAACATGCGATTAATACGATAAAATAATATAATAATAATAATTCAGAAGAATAATATGTATAATCCAGATAATAATATTAATAATATACAATATACTTGGATATTACAATTAAAAAAACTGAATTATAAATAATAAATGCAAAATAATAGCCGCAAAATAGAAGAAAAATGGATGTTGCTCCTCGATATGTTAAATACTTCCTCTATACACAACGCTACTTCTGATTATATCTGTCTTACGATTGTATACATTTTTTTTTACAAATGTAATGCCTTGGGTAATATTTTCATATGAAGAAAAAAATTACGCTTAAAAATATGTATATTTAGTACCGCGCGAGATAGAATAGTAAAAAATGTTTCTCTCTTTGTACATTGAAAACTATGAAAATGTAAATAGTAGGCACAAATGGTATTATTATTACTATTGTTATTATTATTATTATTATTATTATTATTATTATTATTATTATTATTATTATTATTACTATTATTACTATTATTATTATTATTATTATTATTATTATTATTATTAAGGTAACTTACGTAAATATTTCCTCTATATCAGTCTAAAAATCTTGCCTCGTTGCTTTTAAGTTTAAAACATTACAGGCCATTATAATAAATCATGCAATATATATAAAATGATATTACATGTTTATATATATAATAACATACATACGGATATATGCATGCACGCATACACGCATATATATGAATAGAAAAATCACTTAACGATTTTCGCAATAATTATGCGAAATTAATTGAAAAAGATCAACTCTCACGAATATTTAGGCAAAAAGAAACAGCCTGCTATCATGTATCAGCTGTACGATGAAGCGTTGGGAAAAGCGCTATGTAAATGACAATTATACGTATAAATCGCGTTAAATTCTTCGATATTAGTGATCGTATAACGACAGACTGCCTTTTCTTGCAGCGCATTAATATTTGCGCCAAGTCAATTTTTTTGTAATTAATTTCTCATCAATTATTGCGAAAATAGTAAAACTTTTCTATTCTTATAATTATTCTAACTTTTATATATATATATATATATATATATATATATATATATATGTCTATGAATATATATGTATGTATATATATATATATATATATATATATATATATATATACACACACACAAATTATATAGAATGATTATAATATATAAAGAATCTCCTATCTAAACACGCAATTATTTCTCAAACGTATTTAAAGTTAACATTCAATTAGTATTGAATGTTAACTTTAAATACGTTTGAGAAATAATTTAGTATGTTGTGTACCTGTGGTTATTTTTCTAAAAAACTTAAAGCTTAAAGGAAGATTATTCATCGTCAAAATTTTCCTTTTCCTATATAATAAAGATTAAAAAATAATAAAAACTTTGTCCCGTAAAAAGGACGATTAATGAGTTGGTGGGAATCATAAAAAAAATCCTGATAGATGAAAGATAACTCTTTCTCTCTCAAATATTATTGCTATAAGTCTAATTTTGTTAGATTGAATTTTTGATCTTGTTTAAGTAATTGTATGAATATCTTGGTCGAGTATTCTGCGCGCGACGTTGTTTAATATCGAATAAAAGAAATACTGATGTCAGTTAAAAATTACTATCTATCTTTGATCAAGATTAATCTCAAGGCACTGGCGACGGCGGCGGTGGTAGAGGACTGAAATACGTGGACGATCTGGAGCTGGGAGACGGCGGACAGCTAATCGCCGCGTCGCTGTGATAGACAGAGCGTGGAGTAGGCGGCGGTGGAAACGGCTCACTCTCATAACGGTAACGCGCTGGGTAATTGCTATCCGACTCGTCGCAGACATCGGTGCTGCACGGAGTAGGAGGTGGTGGTTGATTAATACTCCTGTAGTGTCGATATGGCTTGTACCGAGACGCGTTGCTGCTCGAGCAACGTGTCGAACTAGCGATGGTCGCCGGACTCGGTGGTGGGTTCAACGTCTCCTGGGGATATCCACCCGCGGAGCTTCCCCTGGTAGAGCTTGACGCTCCTGCGATGAAACGGGAATTGCTTATATAAATATAATTCTCGTAGTATTAAGGAAATTTTTAAGAATCAAAATAAAATAAATTTTATTTCTTGAAATAAGAATATTATAATAATATACAGGATGTTAATATTATAATAATATACAGGGTCTGTTATGTATTAAAACAATTTTTCTTACACGGGAATCTCACATCTAAATGAATATTGTTTGAGAATAAGAGCTATTAAGAGCCAAGGCGGATGGTAGTGCGTGAACTTAAAACGATTAGTAATTCGCGAAAATTAAACCGCGTTTTTATTGAAAAATTAATGACATATGCCTATATTTTACTTGATGCATAAAGCCAAGATATAGGTTTCTCAAATCCGAGAACACACTATAAGACCCCTCTTAACCCCCCTGAAGAGACGTAGGCGAGAAAAATATCGGAGCGAAGTCGCTGAATCGAGAATCGAACCCGAATCTTCCCGAAGATTCCCGTGTAAGAAAAATTGTTTTAATATACAGGGTGTTTTATTTTAATTTCCTCAGACAAATATTTCGGAAAATAATGAAAAATCGAAAAAATGTTTCAGACAAAAGTTGTATGGTTTTTAGGGGGACATAAGATGATGCCATTAGTTTGACCTTGAAGAGTTACATGAAGGTTACGTGAAGGTCATTTTGAATTTCTTAAATGGAACATCCTATATATTTTTGCATATTCTTGTAGCTCATCTCGAGAGCTTTCCAAAACACTATAATAAAGTATTTTTCTATTGAGTGCTTTCCGAGTTATGAGGCTTAAAATCATTTCTTAATTTTACATAAACCGTAAAATATCTTGTAAAATATTCATTTTTCGATTATCTTACCTTAATATTTTTATGTATAAAATAATGAGAGGAATCAATTGGTGTAAAGGAAAAACATAGTTGTTTTTAAGAAATAATATGTAATTAATTGCAAATTACATATTTTTTCTAAGAATCAATTATGTGTTTTCTTTACTAATTGATTCCTCTCATTATTTTGTATATAAAAGTATTAAGGTAAGATAATCGAAAAATGAATATTTTTCAAAATAATTTACGGTTTATGTAAAATTAAGAAATGATTTCAAGCCTTATAACTCAAAAAGTACTTGATGAAAAAAATGTTTGTTTATAGTGTTTTGAAAAGCTCTCGAGATAAGCTACAAGAATATGCAAAAATATATAGGGTGTTCCATTTAAGAAATTTAAAATAACCTTCACGTAATCTTCATGTGACTCTTCAAAGTCAAACTAATGGCACCATCTTATGTTACCTAGAAACCATACAACTTTTGTCTGTAACATTTTTTCGATTTTTCATTATTTCCCGAAATATTTGCCTGAGGAAATTAAAATGAAACACCCTGTATGTATATATATATATATATATATATATATATATATATATATATATATTAATTAATAAAAAAAAGTTTATATAATTTTTATAGATGTTTCAAGACTATGATATGTACTTCATACAGCTACTTGGATTGCGATTCTGTTATAATTGCATGATTTTCTCTCCTAAAGATACACTACCTGTGATATGACTGCGATCATAACTAGAACCAAAACTGCTCCCGTTTAGCATAGACATCCTTACGGCTTCCATTCCAGCTTTGAGACCTCCTCCTGTTCCTACGTCCTTCCTGTTATTTTTCTGCGAAGCGAATATTGGCTTTACTGTTCGATTATTATTTGGTTTCGGCGATAACGGATCTCCCGCCGAATCATGTAAGATATCGGGCAGACCTTCATTTCCAGTAAACCTAATAATGATAATAATACATTTATATAATACATTTGTATATTAATATATATAAGGTGTTTCATATGAAGTTACAAGATGTTTCTTCGAAACTTGACATCATATAAAAAATGTTTCAGACAAAATTTATAGTTATAGAGAGAAAGAAATTGCTTAAAGGACTATGCCCAGTTTCAGCCCGAAATGAACAGTAATAAATCATATATTAATCGATAGAAGGTAATTAAGAAGTACAAAATAAAAGGTTTTAATTGCCTAATTGAAGTCTGGCGAAATATCTACTTATCTTTCTTCAAATTCTCCTCCCTGATCAGAGCTCTCTAATGCCACAAAAATATTACTGGCTGAATATCTAAAGTTTTAGAGAGAAAGAAATTGTTAATCTTGAGTGAATTAAAATCATTTTTTAAAATCATATTAAAGTCAACTTAATTATTTTAAATACCATCCTAATTTTTTTATAAAAAACATGAATTCTTCATAATATTTGTAGACGTTCAAAATTATAAGAGTATAATAGCTACAAATTGAGTACGAGATATTTTAATTTGACATAATTTTACGCAAATTAAAATATTTTGTAAACTAATAGCTTATATTTTTTGGTCATCCTCCTATATTTTATGTCGAATATTGCGGAGAATTTATACAAAAATTACAGCGATCCTATTTAAAAAAAATTAACTATTTAAAAAAATTTGATTTTAATATGACTTTGAAAAATAAATTTTATTAAAAGAAGTTATTTTTTTCTCTCAAATCCCTAATTTTGTGTAAAACATTTATGTCAAGTTTTTTACTTTATATGAAACACTTTGCTAAATAATTTAATGTAATACAAAATAACCTTCTGCGGCAGTAATAGTAACTTAAAATGATCGCAACAGCCACGATCACTACTATTAGAATAACGATGATGTAAGTCATCTTGCCAGACTCGCTAGGTGCTCTGGATCCACTGTTCTGACGGTGCGGATTATGTGGATCAGCACAAACTGGCGATAGCTCGTCGCTGCCATCAGCACAATCATCCCAACCATCGCATATGGATCTCCCGGCGATGCAAACACCGCTTCTGCATTGAAATTGTCCGGGCTGGCAGCAGTGCTCCTCATCCAATCCATCCGAGCATTGCGGTGTCCCATCGCACACCATAGATAGATCTATGCAAATAAAGATTTATTTCTCGATATTTATTTACTTTTTATTTTATTTTGAATTAAGTTTATCAGTTTACCTTAGAATTATTAAAATTCAAAAAGAATAATGAAAGATAAAATACATCAACTTATATCAGTATAAAAAAAAAAATAGAAAAAAAATAGAAAAAAATAGAAAAAAAAGAAAAAAATAGAAAATAGAAAAAAATAATAAAAAGATTGCAATCGTTCTAAACGAAATTCATTAGATTTTAATTCGCTAAAAGGAATCATAAATTTATAATATTTAAAAAAATCTAGATATTCATCAGCCAGTGATATTTTTATGACATTAGAGAGTTCTGATAAGGGAGGAGAATTTGAAGAAAGATAAGTACATATTTCGCCAGACTTCAATTAGGCAATTAAAACCTTTTAGTTTGTACTTCTTGATTACCTCCTATTAATATATAATTTATTACTGTTCATTTGAGGTTCAAATTGGACATAGTCCTTTAATAGCAATTTCATTTCTTAAGTTAAATATAAAACTTTAATTGAAGAGATAGCAATAAAAATTAATATAACAGATTAAATTCATTCAATTGTATAACTTTGTAATAAAAATTAATTAATAAATTTATTAGTAATTATGTAAATATAATTTAAAAAATTAGTAAAATAAGATTTAAAATTATTATGATAAAATCATGAAAAAGAAATTATATCATAAGTTGATGAGTTTGAATTTTTTAATGATCAAGTATTATAATTTTTACGTATATGGTATCTCATAAAAATTGTATCAGTGCTCCGTTTTGTGCAATTTGAAAGCACGATGCAAAAAATATGAATTTATTGAATTGAATAAAAAAATCGATCCATTTTTTTTTTTAATTTTTCGGGAAATATCTGAAGAATATTCAACCAAATTTTACTGAAAAATTCGTAAAATTAAAGGAGTTATGAGATTGAATAGAATAGAACATAAATAAATCAAGATTTTAAATGCATTTTTCTTAAAACAAAAAAAAGTTGACGCGATGGATATCTTGAAAACTAATAGACCGAATAACTTTAAATTTTTTTAATTGAAGAATACTTTTTTGAAGATACTGAAAGTAATTAGAATTTGAAAAATTAATATTTAATAATTTTTTGATCTTAAAGAAATCAAAAAATTTTAGCAAAATTGAAATATCTAATTTTAAAATATAACATCATTTTGTCAGTTTTCAATTTTTTTTTAATGAAATTAGATTCGATATCCAAAAATACATATCACGCTATTGAATTATGCATCTTTGAGACTGCTATTCGTAGCGGCTCGTAATGTCCAAAAGGTTATGTGAAGGTCATTTTGAATTTCTTAAATGGAACATCCTATATATTTTTGCATATTCTTGTAGCTTAATTCGAGAGCTTTCCAAAACACTATAAATAAACATTTTTTCATCAGGCACTTTTTGAGTTATAAGGCTTGAAATCATTTCTTAATTTTACATAAACTGTAAATTATTTTGAAAAATATTCATTTTTCGATTATCTTACCTTAATACTTTTATGTACAAAATAATGAGAGGAATCAATTGGTGTAAAGGAAAAACATAATTGTTTTTAAGAAAAAATATGTAATTAATTGCAAATTATATATTTTTTCTAAGAATCAATTATGTTTTCTTTACACCAATTGATTCCTCTCATTATTTTGTACATAAAAGTATTAAGGTAAGATAATCAAAAAATGAATATTTTTCAAAATAATTTATGGTTTATATAAAATTAAGAAATGATTTCAAGCCTTATAACTCAAAAAGTACTTGAAAAAATGTTTATTTACCATATAGTGTTTTGGAAAGCTCTCGAGATAAGCTACAATATGCAAGAATATATAGGGTGTTCCATTTAAGAAATTCAAAATGACCTTTACGTAACCTTCATGTGATTCTTCAAAGTCAAACTAATGGCACCATCTTATGTCCCCCTAGAAACCATATAACTTTTGTCTGAAACATTTTTTCGATTTTTCATTATTTTCCGAAATATTTGTCTGGGGAAATTAAAATAAAACACTCTGTATGTAAAACATTAAAGACCTCAATCTCTAATATTCCTCAAAACTACTAATTTTTCATATTACTAAAGTAAATTGAATTCTTAATCAACGATGAAAAAAAGCTGGTGTCCACTAACCAATACAACGGTTCTGACACCTGAATTGTTCGCGGGTGCACATGGGACATCCCAGTTCGTCGCTACCATCTGGACAATCAGTCTGACCATCGCACTTCCACAGGACAGGGATGCAGTCCTTGCCTGTAGCCGAACTTGATCCGGCACACGTGAAGTGCTCGTTTCCACAAGCAGGTGCCGTACGACACGTTCGACCGTCATCAGACAGGACCAAGGATCTCGGGCACGAGCAACGCGGTAACACTGAGGCGCCATTGTCGGCACCGGTGCCGATAATAGTGGTGATGCCGATACAGAAATGCGAACAGCCACCGTAGTCATTGAACGGGCTACACACATGCGTCTCCATGAGCGAGTCCTCAGGTGTGTTGACTGCAATGAGATCCGTAAGCGCGCGACTAGTCGACATCAGGGCGCTTTGCTTGAGACTTGAGCCGGATACCTTGTCAACTCCCTCAATCGCCTGTCGATTCATTAGATTCGTTAGATAAAGGTACAGTGTTTGCTGTAGATAATTTCGAAATTATCTAGATAAAGATAAAAATAAAAATCCGTAAATTTATCTTAGATGAGATAAAGATGATTTTGCTTTTACTTAATCTAGATGAAAGATGGTTATTGCAATAATCTAGACAATTATCTAGATATTTTTGTCTATTTTATAAGACTATAAGTCTTTGTAAAATAAGTATTTGTAAAAAATGTGACGCAGATTATAAATGGGATATTAAAATCATAAACACATATTCTTTCTCTTTTCCTAAAGAATATTTAAATAATAAAAAGGTATATAAATGATATGATAAATATTTATTTATTAATTTATATTTATAGGCCGGTATTTATAGTCCGTATATTTAAGATCATCCTAAGTTCATCTTTAAATATTAAATGTATTATTTTATTGGCTACAGATTATCTGAAGATGAACTTAAGATGATCTTAAATATAAGATCGGACTATGAATACCGGCCATAATATATTTATAATATATTTATAATATATTAATAATATAATAATCAATGTGTAACAATACATATATTATTTTTATAAAATATACATTAATGCATTACACAAATTTAAGTAAAACAAGTACAAGATAAAGTATATTTGTAATATTATTTCCCAAATAAAAATATATTTTAGATATTTTAGATAGATTTTTAGAAGCTTGCCTCTAAACTCTTGGAAAACTCTTGTGCATAATTAAAACGTCATCTTAGGCAATTTTTAGATAAGATGACATATTTTTTATCTAAGATAAAGATACTTTGTATTTCTTCATCTAGTTAAAGATAAAGATGATCTATTTCTTTCTAGATAATTTTATCTAGATACCAGCAAACATTGACAGTGTCTATTCTAACAAAAATTGCCATACTTTGTATTTCTATCTATATAATTATCTAGATAATTTTATCTAGATACCAGCAAACACTGACAGTGTCTATTCTAACAAATATCGCCATACTTTGTATTTCTTCATCTAGTTAAAGATAAAGATAATCTATTTCTTTATCTAGATAATTATCTAAATAATTTTATCTAGATACCAGCAAACACTGACAGTGTCTATTCTAACAAATATCGCCATATTTTGTATTTCTTCATCTAGTTAAAGATAAAGATGATATATTTCTTTATCTAGATAATTATCTAGATACTAGCAAACACTGACAGTGTCTATTCTAACAAATATCGCCATACTTTGTATTTCTATCTAGATAATTATCTAGATAATTTTATCTAGATACCAGCAAACACTGACAGTGTCTATTCTAACAAATAGCCATAAAATGAAATATCACCCACCTGGACATCACGATCGTACCAGTAGAGATGATCATAAAGCACCGCTAAATGAATCGGCGAAGTCTGTTTAGTAGCGGCGGCCACTAGAATTCTGCGGTTGCCGCCGTTGAAGTCAGCACACTCGATCTGCCTACCGTAGGCCCAAAAGACGATGTTGGTCGCAGCATCGATGGTCAAACCAGTCGGCTGCTCCGGCAGGTCGCCAGCGATCACGTGGCGTTCCTTGCCATCCATTTTGCTGCGCATCACTCGCATCCTCTTGCCCACGTCTGTCCAAAAGAGCAATCGCCGCCGCGAGTGAATGGCAATATTACGCGGTTTCTCGCTGTCGCCCTTCACCACGACACCTAGGGCCGAGCCATTGTCCAATCGCGTGACGTTAATGGCGTCGTTCTCGCTACATGTCCAGAAGAGCAATCTGCCAAGGGGATCCAGTGCGAGATCGAACGGATGCCCGGTCCCGCCGGTGAACACCACAACCTTGCTGCTGTGCTGCTGCTGCGTGCGATTCTCGAGGGCACGACGAATCGACATGGTGCGCCCGTCGATCCAGTAGACGTGCTGCGTCACTGGATCGAACTCGATCGCCCGGACGTTCTTCAGGCCTGGCACACGCAGTACCACATCCGCACAGTCATGCGCTTCATCAGGCAAGTAACGCGCGATTGCGTTGCGCAAACTGTAGATCATAAACTGCCGAGGCGCCACGCACGTCCGATTATCCGGTGATAGTGCGTAGTGCGTGGGACACGCGCATCTGTGCGTGACGGAAGCACCGCCTTCGGTTGGTCCTGGCAAAGCGATGCAGAGGTGACTACAATTACCATTCGTAATGGCGCACGGATTCCAGCCGGTCTGCCTGGACTCGTGGAATATCTTGAGATCTGTCACAGATTCCAGCTTGTCATGGATTTTGGTTCGATTCGCTCCGGTCAGCTTATCTGCCCGCTCAATGTCGTCTGTGTTCCAATCAGTCCAGTAGATGTAATCGCGATATTGCGTGATACTGAAAGGATAGCCTATGTCGTGCGAGATGATGACTTCCTTCTTTCGTGCGAGAAGATCGAAACAGTCAATCGCGGGCGTGGAGACATCGGCCCAATAGAGCTTTCGCGCGACGTGATCGAGGGTCAGACCGTTTGCTCGGCCGATGTTTGAGACAGTCACTTGTCGTTGCGTGCCGTCCAATAAAGCTCTCTCTATGCTGCCAGCATCGCCCCATTCGGCCCAGTACATGTGGCTAATGATGAAAGAGTGAATGAACGTCAAACTACTGGGATCTATCGAGTTGTGAAGGATATTCCAGGATGATACGAACAACATAAGATGGAAAACTTACCCTTTCGCAGGATCTAGAGCCAGAGACTTGGGCTCGATGAGGTTTTGCCACACGAGTACCTTTCTGCTGCCACCTTCCAATCTGATCATCTCTATCCTACGCATGTTAATGTCGCTCCAATAAAGATTGTGCGCGATCCAATCTAACGCAAGACCCTCCGGCGATTCTAGGCCGAGATCGACCACTCTTTCCATGTCCGATCCATTCATAAAGGCACGTGTAATGGCTTTAATTTTAACATCCGTCCAATAGATACGATTCTCGAGTAAATCAAAGTCCAAGGCGCTAGAGAGAGAGAGATGGAACAAATAAGTAATACAGGGTGTCCCATTTTATCACCCTGAATAACTTTTGTAATTTTGATTGTAGAAAAAAATGTTTCAGACAAAAGTTGTATGGTTTTAAGGGGCGCTTAAGATGGTGCCATAAGTTTGACCTTGAAGAGTCACTTGAAGGTCACGTGAAGGTCACCTCCAACTTTTCAAATAGGACACCCTGTGAGCTTTTACATATTATTGTAGCTCATCTCGAGAGCTTTCCAAAACACTATAATAAAGTATTTTTCTATTGAGTGCTTTCCGAGTTATGAGGCTTGAAATCATTTCTTAATTTTACATAAACCGTAAAATATCTTGTAAAATATTCATTTTTCGATTATCTTACTTTAATACTCTTATGTACAAAATAATGAGAAGAATCAATTGGAGTAATGAAAACACATAATGGTTTCGAAAAAAAAAAAATGTAATTTGCAATTAACAATTACATATTTTTTCTTAAAAATAACTGTGTGTTTTCTACACCAATTGATTCCTCTCATCATTTTGTACATAAAAGTATTAAGGTAAGATAATCAAAAAATGAATATTTTACAAAATATTTTATGATTTATTTAAAATTAAGAAATGATTTGAAGTCTCATAAATAAGAGAAAAGCACTCAATACAAAAATACTTTATTATAGTGTTTTGGAAAGCTCTCGAGATGAGTTACAAGAATATGTAAAAGCACATAGGGTGTCCCATTTAAAAAGTTGTATGTGACCTTCACGTGACTCTTCAAGGTCAAACTAATGGCTCCATCTTATGTGCCCCTTAAAACCATACAACTTTTGTCTGAAACATTTTTTTCTACAATCAAAATTAAAAAAGTTATTCAGGCTGATCGATTAAAATGGGACACCCTGTATAAGTAACACATCTATCAAAAAAAGCAATTAAGATGCGGAAAGACAATGCATCTCATCATTATAATAAAATGCTGAATATAAAAATCCGTAAAAAAAAAAAATTACAATTGCTCGAAAAATCTTTCTTCGCAAAAAATATAGATTTGTTCTTTTTTTAATAAATATTTCTAACACACTTTATATAACTTTATCTAAAAATATTCAATTTAATGTTTTAGCTGTACTAACCTGGCTTCTTTGATACCTGTGACAGGTATAATATTATCGTTATTGGTATTCTCGATGCTGATCCGGCCAAGGTTCTCTTTCCTGGCAAACAGCAGGAAAGCGTCTGGCACGATGCACGTGCGCTTGTCCTTGGTTAATTCATAACCGATCTCACAGGCGCAAACGTACCTATAGTAAGTTTGAAATTTTATTAATTTATTTCTAAATTAAAAATTTATTAATACGCACAAATTAAATATTTTAATTATCATAAACATATATATGTATATAATTTTTTTGCTTTTCCACGTTAATAAAAATTATATTTCGATTTGACAACATGCGCGGAAGAAGAACCTCATCAAGAATTTTAGGAGGGTACCCGATTGACCACGTCGCCAATTGGCCAATTCAAAATAGGACTCCCTGATTGATTAATTGTTGCCGGTTACCCTAGGCACAGGTCGATATAATTGGCTGTGATCAATCGCAACGTGCTCAAACGGGACACTCCCGAATTTTACGATCATCCTAACATCCGTTGTACCTATTGTGAAGCCTATTGAGACAGAGATGGCTGCAACCACCATTGTCGCGAGCGCACGGCGACTTGCTGGCGTTCACTCGACCGAGATGTATAGCCTTGAGTCCCATTACGTTAGGCACCTGGTCAACGATGACTTCCCGATTACTGCCGGTGAGCTTATGCGCCCGATCGATGCTACGTCGCTGCCAATCGGTCCAGTATAGATAATCGCCCAACAGACTCAGACCGAACAGATGCGGTAGATTGTCGGTAATAATCTCGCGGCGATCGGTACCATCCATATTGGCTACCTCGATCTTGTCGGTCTTGGCGTCACACCAATAAATTTTTCCGCGTTCGAGGTCCAGGGCAATGCCGTTTGGCCAAACGATGTCTTTGATAATGAGTGCGATTCGTTCGGTGCCATCAAGATTGCTTCGCTCGATCTTAGGCCGCTTTTCGTTCCAATCGGTCCAGAACATTAGGCCATGCTCAGGTGCGACCGCGATTGCCCGCGGTTCAATTAGATCCTCGTTCACCAGTACACGTCGATTGGTGCCGTTCAATCGCGCCACCTCAATCCGATCCGTTCCCGTGTCTGTCCAATACAGATTGCGGGCGATCCAGTCTATCGCGACTCCATCTGGATTCACTACCTATGGGAACCAAAAGAAAGTTGTGGAGACAGAATATAAGATGTGAAAAACCTTACATTAGAATCTCTCAAAAATAAATCATACGGGCTTCTGATAGATTCTAACAGATTATCCTCATTCTTGTTAAATTCAAGACATTAAAAGATATCGTTTCACGATTTTTATTTTCTTATCTTAATACTTTTATGTAATAATAAGAGGAATATTGTATTTTCTCATGCTAAGCCACTTCTGAGTAACATGAAGGATAATGATGTGGGATAAAGAGATAATGATTCAGCCACGCAACAGCACGCAATGCACAGAATACTCTTTTTTGCGATTGTAGGAAGAATACAGTGTCCCATTTTAATCGATCACTCCGAATAACTTTTTTAATTTTGATTTTAGAAAAAAATGTTTGACAAAAGTTGTATGGCTTGAAGGGGGACATAAGATGGTGTCATTAGTTTGACATTGAAGAGTTACCTGAAGGTCACGTGAAGATCACATCCAACTTTTTAAATGGGACACCCTATATGCTTTTGCATATTCTTATAGTTCATCTCAAGAGCTTTCCAAAAATGTTTTGGAAGTGGCTTAGCGTGAGAAAATACAATATTTTTAGAGATACATTTTTGAGAGATTCCAGTGTATTTTTAAAAAGCAGAATGTTGAACCACCTCCGCGACGATTACATCTTCTTGACTCGATCCATCCAAGTAAGCGCGTCTAATGGCACAGGCCTGTTCATCGGTCCAGTATAACATTTTGTCTACTGTATCAAAATCGATCGCGATCGCGTGCTTGATGCCAGTAAGCGGCAGGGCAAAGTTAGTGTAGTCAGGCGAGTCCAAGGATATTCGACAGATCTCGTTTCGCTGGACGACCAGCAGCAGCTCCTGCGGTCCCTTGGCGCATGTATAATCATCCAGTAGCTTGATGCCCGTAGGACAAGCACAACTGTAACCGCGCTCTCCCGCACTCAGTAAACACAGATGGGAACAATTACCATTGTTAGATTTGCAGGGATTGTCGCCATAAGGTTGCCTTCTTGCATCCCAAACTTTAATGTCTCCTAAAAGACAGAAAAATAAAATATTAATATATGAAAAAATGCAAAATATATTTGCTGTATAAGTCTAATGATTTATTACAAAAATGTTCTTTGATTTTAGAGATGCTTGCTCGAAACTGAAATATATTACACAATAAATATACAGGACCAAAAGTCTGGATACAGTCGAATATCTCGTATAGCATGCATTTTAGAACAAAATGCTTTAGACAAAAGTTGTAAGGATTAAAAAGATGTATTTAACTGTAATATCCATTTGACATTGAGTGACATTGCCAAGATCAAGGCAAGGTCAACTTGAATTTTTTAAATGGAACCCCCTATTTTTCATTGCATATTCTTGTAGCTCATCTCGAGAATTTTCCAAAACACTATAATTAAGTTAGTTTTTATTAAGTACTTTCCGAGTTATGAGGCTTGAAATCATTTCTTAATTTTATATAAACCGTAAAATATCTTGTAAAATATTCATTTTTCGATTATCTTAATACTTTTATATACAAAATAATGAGAGGAATCAATTGGTGTAAAGAAAACACATAGTTATTTCGAAGAAAAAATGTAATTTGCAATTAACAATTAAATATTTTTTTTTAAGTAACTGTGTTTTCTTTACACCAATTGATTCCTTTCATTATTTTGTACATAAAATTATTAAGGTAAAATAATCGAAAAATGAATATTTTACAAGATATTTTACGGTTTATGTAAAATTAAGAAATGATTTCAAGCCTCATAACTCGGAAAGCACTCAATAGAAAAATACTTTATTATAGTGTTTTGGAAAGCTCTCTCGAGGTAAGCTACAAGAATATGCAATGAAAAATAGGGGGTTCCATTTAAAAAATTCAAGTTGACCTTGCCCTGACCTTGGTGACGCCACTCAATGTCAAATGGATAATACAGTTAAATACATCTTTTTAATCCTTACAACTTTTGTCTAAAGCATTTTGTTCTAAAATGCATTCTATACGAGATATTCGACTGTATCCAGACTTTTGGTCCATCCTGGACCAAAGGTATAATAAATATACCAGGTATATATTCTCCATGAAATAATTCGCGCGGACTCGTGTATTGTGACTGACGCATGTCGAACGTGTGGATGCACCAGGTCTTCCAGTCGGTCCAATACAATCGATCCTCCAAGAAAGTGATAGCGAATGGATAGTCCAGGCCCTTGCTAATTAATGTACGTCTATTGCGACCGTGATAATCCATTACAGCGATGAACCACAGTCTGCCATCCGCCCAGTAGATGAGTTCGTGCTGATAATCTATTGTTAAACCGTTCGGCCAGAATATATTTTCGGACACAATCACCTCGCGTGTACTCGGATCGCCATCCATACTGGCGCGTTCGATCTTAGGTATGTCGCCCCAATCGGTCCAGAAAAGAAGACCCTTCATCGGTGCTAAAGCAATCGCGCGTGGCTGATAAATGTCCGTCCAGAACAGCACCTTCCTATGACGACCATCGATACTAGTCACCTCGATCAGATTTTTCTCGCCATCCGTCCAATATAGCTTGCCCGTATACCAATCACAGGCAAGACCATCGGGTGATATCAGTCTGGAGTTCACCACAGTCATTCTTTCACTTGTATACGTGCCATTGGAGTGTGCGCATTGTATCATCTCCAGACCACTATCGGACCAGCAGATCAAGCCGCGTTCATAATAGAAATCCAGCGCCGCACCCTCCGATAGCTCTTTAATAATGATATTGACCTTGTTGTTGCGAGACACATTAGCCATTCTGAGGTCCTTATGTGTGGCAAAGAGAAGAATAGGTGAGCCTAAAAGTGATTTATTCAAAATATAATACAGGGTATCCCATTTTAATGTCCCACCTCAAATAACTTTCTTGTTTTTAATTTTAGAAAAAGATGTTTCAGACAAAAGTTGTATGGTTTCTAGAGAGGCATAAGATGGTGCCATTAGTTTGATCTTGAAGAGTCACATGAAGGTTGCATATTCTTGTAGCTTATTTCGAGAGCTTTTCAAAACACTATAAATAAACATTTTTTCATCAAGCACTTTTCGAATTATGAGGCTTGAAATTATTTCTTAATTTTACATAAATCATAAAATATCTTGTAAAATATTCATTTTTTCGATTAGCTTACCTTAATACTTTTATGTACAAAATAATGAGGGAAATCAATTGGTGTAAAGAAAACATACAGTTGTTTTTAAGAAAAAATACGTAATTTGCAATTAACAATAGTGTTTTGGAAAGCTCTCGAGATATGCTACAAGAATATGCAAAAATATATAAGATGTTCCATTTAAGAAATTCAAAATGACTTTCACGTAACCTTCGTGTGACTCTTTAAGGTCAAACTAATGGCACCATCTTATGTCCTCCTAGAAATCATACAACTTTCGTCTGAAACATCTTTTTCTAAAATTAAAAATAAGAAAGTTATTTGGCATGGGACATTAAAATGGGACACCCTATATAAATATAAAAAATAATAAAATATAATAAAAATAGCAACTTGTCCAAATTATAATAAATGTAAAAAAATATGAAAAATATGAAAAATTCACAATATATACAAATCAAAAGTAAATTAACTAATTGGCTTAAAAAAAGAGAGAAAGTCACAAATGTAAATATAAAATAAAAATAAAAAATAAAATTTTTAAAAATAAAAATAAAATAAAAAAAAGAAATGACGGGAACTTTGATAGACCAATTCTCCTTACCATGGCTAGAAAATGTGCCGCACCATAGAATAGAAATGACAATAAACAAATCGCTCCAGATCATGGCATGGGCCATTCTAAGAACATAGTTCACTTGTAGCCTCGAAATTATCAGTGTTCTTAGATCTTGGCACGATTGCAGCCACGTATCATCTCATTGTCACTGGATGAACAGAAGAAGCGTCTCGAAATAACGCTACATTCACCCTCGTCACGTTCTTTCCAGCCATTCACGCGCGACGAAAAAACCAAACAATCACACGCCATATATCATACGACGCGTCTTAAACCATGGAACACTGTGAACATAGATAGTGGACTCGATGATCAAGGTTAAAGCCTTAAGGGTAGGTTTTCATTAGAGACCCCTCTAATTAGAGGGACTAGAGAATCTCTAGGAGAGAGAATGGACAACTGATCATGTGACATGTGATCAAGCTTTTTTATGATTGGCTGGCAGAAAATGTATCAATTTTAGCTATTGCGACGCCAATGCAAAAATATGATGACACACAAATAGGTTAATATATGTGTGTCATGTGTGTCCTATTTGTGTGTCATCATATTTTGCATTGGCATCGCAATAGCTAAAATTGATACATTTTCTGCCAGCCAATCATGAAAAAGCTTGATCAGTTGTCCATTCTCTCTCCTAGAGGTTCTCTAAGAGGGACGGGATTCGATTGCCCACGTCGCCAATTGGCCGATTCAAAATAGGACTCTCTGATTGGTTAATCTTTGCTGGTTACCCTAGGCACAGGTCGATATGATTGACTGTGGTCAATCGGGACGTGGGCAAACGATACGCTCCCTAATCAGAGTCTGGACATAAGCAAGCTCTGATTGGTCCGCCATTTTTCTTCAATTCGCGCCAGTTTTATGAAATTTCTATTGCTATCAAATATAATAAATTAAATATAATAAATTATTAAATATTTAAAAAATACGGAAATTATTATCATATTTAAAAAATTAAATAATAAGAAAAATTAAAATGTTTATATTTTTTTAAATATAATAATTGAATATGAGAGTGAATGAATGAATGAGTGAGAGAAAGAATGAGTGAATGAGTTGAAAATATAAACTTTGATGAGTAATTAAATTGAAGTAATCAATTAATAGTTAAAAAAATAATAAGAAATAAAAAGTAAATAACATATATACAGGGTGACCCATTTTAACTTAGGCAGCCAAATAACTCGAAAAATAAGCACACTACGAAAAAATGGTTAGAATCAAAATTTCGTCATTTCGAGGGGAACGTACAATGACGTTAAAATCAGCCCCCCCCACCCCTCCCCCTGGGCGGTGAGGGGGGGCAAGTTTGAAATCTTAAATGGGAACCCCTATTTTTCATTGCATATTCTTGTAGCTTATCTCGAGAGTTTTCCAAAATACTATAATTAAGTACCTTTTTATTAAGTACTTTTTGAGTTATAAGGCTTGAAATAATTTCTTAATTTTACATAAACCATAAAATATCTAGTAAACCATTCATTTTTCGATTATCTTACCTTCATACTTTTATGTACAAAATAATGACAGGAATCAATTGATGTAAAGAAAACACATAGTTGTTTCTAAGAAAAAATATGTAATTTGCAATTAACAATTCCATATTTTTTCTTAAAAACAACTGTATGTTTTCTTTACACCAATTGATTCCTCTCATTATTTTGTACATAAAAGTATGAAGGTAAGATAATCGAAAAATGAATGGTTTACTAGATATTTTATGGTTTATGTAAAATTAAGAAATTATTTCAAGCCTTATAACTCAAAAAGTACTTAATAAAAAGATACTTAATTATAGTGTTTTAGAAAGTTCTCGAGATAAGCTACAAGAATATGCAATGAAAAATAGGGAGTTCCATTTAAGATTTCAAACTTGCTCCCCCTCACCGCCCAGGGGGAGGGGTGGGGGGGCTGATTTTAACGTCATTGTACGTCCCCCTTGAAATGACGAAATTTTGATTCTAACCATTTTTTCGTAGTGTGCTTATTTTTCGAGTTATTTGGCTGCCTAAGTTAAAATGGGTCACCCTGTATATACATATACACAAAAAATATTTTTTGTATATATTAATTATTTATTTTATACATGTAAAAAGTAATACATTATTTTATTTTAAACTATGCATCATCATCGATTTGCTATCGTAATATTTACGATTAATTAATACAGTTTTTTTGTTTTTAAATTTTAGTCTTAAGCTAACAAATTTTTAAAATAATTTTTGACGCAAATTATGACAGTTAAGAATATGATCTGCTGGAACAAAATTAAATTTATCAAGTAAAAATTCATTTAAATTTACTCTATACATGATCTTAAAACAGAGACTATATATTTTTTAATTTTAAAAATATTTCAAATGTTGGTTTATTAATAAAGTATAAAGTATTTTCCTTATAACATCTAAAACGGCTTTTTCATTGACGCTAGAAACCAGCGGCAAATGGGGATCTAGCCATCTTACATGCCTCATATTCCGTTGCAGTAGACATTTCTTTCCCCTCACCCTTTGAGCTTTACCCCCGCAGCAATACACTCTGTCCTGTATTTCTTACATTCATGCACTCGACACTCATTTTCAGTTTCAAAACACGTCACATGACCAAAAAATGACGAATTGGTATCTTTATTTTTAATCACGTAATGTCTTTGAAATTGAGTAGCATGAAAATACGCCTTTAAGTACGCCGAATGCGGCCAATCACATCGTACGGGAATATCCATACTTGTCGATTTTCTGATTGGCCGACGCGAAAAACTCGCTTCGGTAAAATCCTTCCCAAAAACATTGTTGAACAAATATTTCAAGATGGTAATTCAAAAAAAAAATCTACAAATGAATTCAAGAATAACTTATCATGATTATATTCTCGTGAATTACTGTCAATAATATTCGTTATGCCAAAAATTCTAGCCTCTGGGATTACCGTTTAGTCGAACGAGCCGATTGGCTGTCGGATAGAGAACTTCCCAAGAGAGGATCCCAAAAATCTCAAGCTCGGCAACTTCACTTCGCTCGCGTAAATTCGCGATAATCAGCGGCCGGCTGTCAGTAGCTTGCTGTTATCACGAATCCTGGCACGATAACGATGCGCTTTCGCAGACGTAGGTGAGATCGAGCGCGACGTTGACAGGAGCAAGGGTGCCGCGAAGGCACGTGCGGATCAGCTGATTGGCGGAGGGCTCCGAGACCGAGAGCTGTCACACATCCGTCGTCTTCAGTCGCAGGCGAAATCATCGTCATGGCGGGCTTTGTACTCCGGGTGAAGACCAAGTCGGGTCAGAAAATCGTTAATGGCCTCGCTCCCCACGATAAAGTGTTCCAACTGAAGGCGAAGCTCGCCGAGCTTACCGGGGTACCCGTCGCCGCCCTCCACGTGCTCTCCGGTTTCCCACCCAAGCCTGTCAATCTGGACGCGACCGACGCCACCATCGAACGCATCGGCATCATCTCCGGGGACACCCTCATCGTCGAGGAGAAACAGGTTCGTGCAATCGGGTAAACAGTGTTTGCTGGTATTTAGATAAAATTAAGATAGATAAAGAAATGAATCATCTTTATCTTTAACTAGATGAAGAAATACAAAGTATCTTTATCTTTATCTTAGATGAAAAATATATGTCATCTTATCTAAAAATTGTCTAAGATGACGTTTTTATTATGCAAAAGAGTTTTCCAGGCAAGCTTCTAAAAATCTATCTAAAATATCTAAAATATATTGTTTATATTATTATTATTATTATTAATATATTATAAATATATTATAAATATAAATTAATAAATAAATATTTATCATATCATTTATATACCTTTTTGCTATTATTTCTTTATAATATTAAATATTCTTTAGGAAAAGAGAAAGAATATGTGTTTATGATTTTATAATATTTTTAATATCCCATTTATAATTTGCGTCACATTTTTTACAAATATTTATAGTCTTCTAAAATAAACAAAAATATCTAGATAATTATCTAGATTATCGCAATAATTATCTCATCTTTCATTTAGATTAAGTAAAAGCAAAATCATCTTTATCTCATCTAAAATAAATTTACAGATTTTTATCTTTATCTAGATAATTTTGAAATTATCTACAGCAAATACTGCGGGTAAATAAAGAGACGTACACTCGTCTTTTTTTTTTTTTTTTGAGTACGCTTAGGTAAGTATACATAGGACATTATGTAATTGATTGCATTAATATTTCGACGAACAATTATTAGGTGTACTATAATAAATTTTCTACTATTTTTGATGAAATTTAATTTATGTTTGAAAACTGATAAGTCAATTTTTTATCTTTTTATACACCTCGTCCATCTCAGCGCAGTGGCTTCGCCATCCTATCTTTATTTTATTTTGATTGTTATCTATCAACCACTTTTATTAATTTTAATTATGAAATTTTATGTTTAGTGACAAATTATACTTATTTATTATGTTAATTACTTATTTATAAATTATACTTCGTGAAAATAATCTCTGTCATTTTTCAGGATTTTCTTCCAGCTTTCAAGCAAATTATAAATTCTGGATCAGTAGAATAAATTCTGGTCTATACTTGCAATGAATTTATTTATTATCAAGTTATTTTCTTATTTTTTTGACATTTCTGAATTTTTTTAGCAGATATAACATGCTACGTTAATTAGAAAAAATTACTATTTAATGGTGCTATGTCCATTAAACATGCGAATGAAGTAAAAGATCCTCTCTAGCCAAGTTTCAATAATATATTCTTGATCAATTGATATTGAGCAAGATAGTTGGGTATGATTTACTACGAATTATTTGAACTAGCTGAAACAATTATTGTAGATTCCTATTGTCGCTAGTTATTTTAAGCAAAAAGTTGAAAAGAAAATGACCCTTTAGAGGGAAAGATTGTTACTCAGTTAAATTTTTGCTTGTACTGTTTGCCTCATATGGCAGAATTGATCAGGGGTACATTATTGAGACTCCAATAAATTGAATATAGTATATTCAATTATATCATCATTCAATTATATCATATTCATAATTGAATATAGTATCTTCAGACTGTTATTTATTTTGGTTGATAAAGTATGTTTTGCCTGGCAGAAAATTTAGAAATGTCAAAGAAATAAGATAATTATTTGATGAATCCATCGCAAGTAAAGATTATAGTTTCTATTGATTCAGAATTTAAACTTATATCAAAAGATGAAAGAAAGCTGAAAAATTATTTTCATAATTGTTCTGTACATGTCTAATTGCTCAATAAACATTGAATTATATAAAAAATAGTGGAAAAAACTTATTTATACATCTAATATAATGTGATGATAATCTCTTCCTGAAAATGGCAATTTTTTTTAAATAAATTCTATTAAGAAATCTATCCTTATCTTAAATAACAAATTCCTCTTTTTTTTACATTTTTCTCTTTTTAAAACTAAAAATATTAATATATAAAAATATTAATATATAAAAATTAATATATAAAAATATTAATATAGAATATTAAAACTCACAATCTGAAAATTATTTCAGTTATTCCTGTTTTTATTTAAACATGAATGTATGACGAATAAAATTATTTTTGTCATATTAGGAGATATTCATATTTAATTATTTTATTCAATGTCAAAAATCAAGAGAAAAATTATCTCATATAAGCATCATGTTTACAGATCATGTTTAGATCCAACGATTTTGGACGATCACACATTGTCGATCAGGAAAGTTTCGCCAATGCTCCCGGTGTGCTTATGAGGAAAGTCGTGCCTGCAGACAACTCTTGCCTCTTCACCAGTGTGGGCTATGTTTTGAATGGTGAGGAAATATTAAAAGACATTTAAAATATAAAGTAAATCAAATATCCAAAACAAAAGGTTTAAATAATTTTTTTTCAATATGAAAAAACAAATGTTAAAAATATATTTGTATAACATAATTGCAATTTCAAAAAGCAAATATTAATAAATAGTAGTTTAATAAATTTTAATAAATAGTAAATATTACATTTTCAAGAACTGTATAAATTAGACGTATAAATACTAAATGAAAATGGGGCAAAGTAATAATTCAGGAATAATTTTAAGATTGCATTTGTAAAAGAAAATATAATATTTAATAAATATTTTAGAAAGCTATAAATTATAATAATTGCTGCTTTAATACTTCTTCAGGGAAGGTTGACACCAGCTGTGCCAGTTTCATGAGAGAGATTATAGCAAACGCGGTGGCAGCTGATCCGGACGAATATTCGGAAGCATTTCTGGGCAGACCGAATGCTGATTATTGCAAATGGATCCTCAAAGCAGATTCCTGGGGCGGCGCCATCGAGTTGTCAATCCTGTCCAAGTTCTATGGCTTAGAGATAGCGGTGATTGATAGCATTAATGCAATTATTAACAGATTTGGCGAGGACCAACATTACGCCCAACGGGTTTTTCTCATATTTGATGGCATCCACTATGATCCACTTTATCTGGAGCCGCTTGACGTAAGTTTCTTTAATTTACTATCAATATTTGAAGTTTTCTTAGCGCAAATCGTCTGAGATTTTATCAATATCTAGAAGAATTAAGCGATTTTGTCCTTTCTTCTGAATATTTAAAAAGAATTCTCTCAATCTTTAGAATTAATTTCTTTTGCTGACGATTTTGTGACTTTTACGCGTCTTTATCAGAGCGGCAGCATTCAAACGATCTTTCCTACTGAAGATGAAAGGATGTTGCTGGAAGCTGCCCAGCTCGCGAGAGAAGCAAGATCGAGTCGTCAGTTTACGGATGTACAAAAGTTCACTTTGATGTGCATCGACTGCAAAATTAGACTGAACGGACAGGCGGCGGCGCAACAGCACGCTAAGGACACTGGTCACACGAATTTTGGCGAAGTGGCAGCGTAGCCTCCTCACATCGTCTGCTCATATTATCAAATTCTTCGGTGATTATCCTTGACCCTAAACAGTATACAGCGAGAGAGATTTTTTCTTCGCTTCGGAAATACTCCGAATGTCCTTGATTTATTCATTTATTCATACTGCTGCAACAATTTAATATAAGTACTTATTACTGCAGATTTTTTTTGTATAACAAAAATCGAACGATGGGAAGTTTCATGCTTATGCTGGAAAAAGAGAGAAAAAGAGAAGAGCACATGAGTGATATTATGAATTGTATTGAAACGTATATTTTGTGCAATTATATGCTAGGTAATAATTTTAGTAATTATTATATATTTTTTAGGTAATTGTATTTAAATTTTTTTTATTAATCTGTGTGTGTGTGTGTGTATGTGTGTGTGTGTATATATATGTATGCGCGTATTTGTCACAACAAAGATAAGGACTCTATGGTTCATTACTGCCATGATATTTAATAACTCCAAATCCTCTATGCGCGCGAGCGTTTGCGTGTGTTAATATATATATATTTATCCAGAATTATATTTTAAGAATATTTATGCAATATATTGTTTGATTTATATTATAGGGCAATTTTGTATAAAATATATAAGGATATTTTATACTGTTTAGGATTAAAGAAATGCCGTTTCATAGCTAGATGCAACAAGAGCATGTTTTCTACTCGAGCAAAACAATTTACGAATAGCTACACTATTTATTAGGGCGAATCGTTTGCGATGCACTCTTTTTATTGAGGATTGTTAATACACATAATACACAAGTTATTGATTTTGATTAAATATCGTTTTGTTTTCGATCTCCTATTTCACATAGAATACGTCTGAAAAGACGTATGTACATTATATTCTAAATTTTAATGTCTCCTTGCAAATATTCTCTGCAAATATTTTTAAAAATTCTTTTATTTCTTTATTACAAACATTCAATTAATATAACTTTATATTTGCATTTATACATGTATGAATATTGAAATATTTGACTTTGTCCGAATATACTTAAGACGTTCAGATAAGTATTCTTAATATTAAATCCGATATTGAGGTCAATTTTTTCTACATAAGAGCTGCCACTTTCTAGATAAAATGTCATATGGACGCAGAGTTCTATATGCTGTCTTCTTCTTCTTCTTCTTCTTTCTTCTTCTTCTTCTTTCCTTCT